TGACGATGAGACTCAACCGGGTCGAAATAGCTGTCCAGTGCTTCCCAGCTTTTCCGCTCACGCCCCAATTACAGAACGAATTCATCATATAAACGAATCGGAATTGGTTGACCACACAGTCATTAGTTGCTTCATATTTGGAATATGTGTCAAGCGATTCGGATCCGTAACTTTGAAGGCATCTTTCGAGATGAACGAGGATAAGAGCTCTTAAATAGCTCACGCTGATTGGAAGCCAAATCGGCCAACTACTGAGCAGGTGATATGCGACAAACCAAGTTCAGTAAATCCTCCGCTAATTACTTACACAATCGAATCGGATGCAAAGCGAATTGATGCCTGAGTGAATTGTTGTGCTTTCTGCACGCATCTTTGTCCCAGTAATGTGAAAACTGTAATCGGGAACGGTACTTTGAACCCACGGTGTCATTTGTATATTGTCACCTGTTAACCACAACAGCGAATTCATTCATTCAGCGGGTGTGTTCGATACACGACTATATCAACTCTGAATATGCGACTGCTAACATGACCGATCGCACATAGTCTCTAGTGCTGTTTTAAGCGTCATCAAGGAACAGTGCGCACGCGATCTTCTGGAGGGTCTATACAACATATCTGCATGCCAAGGGAAACAAGCCCACACGAACCATGCACATTGTAAATTCGCAATTAATTCACAATAGCCACGCTACGACTTCACAATGCGTTATTAAAAGTTGAAATGTTTCTCCCTCCAAGAAATGCCAGCACTACTACCACTACTACTACTACTACTGTGGTCCCGTAGAGAATGTGCCCTTCCCACTTCCAATAAATATGAAATGGATGGTGTCAGGTTTCATCAACGAAGTCAATTGGCATAAGCTGCGAATAATCGAGGAGTGATCTGTGTCATTTCGATAGAAAAAAAATTGACAGAGGAGGACGGAATGATTAATGACGGCAATCTGCCTGGGTCGAGGCAGTGAGAGAGTGAGAGTGAGCTGCAGTGACTGTGAGCAATGATGTCAGGCTCTCCCTTTGCAAGTATCGTACGGATGATTCTCACGTATTTACGTGACTTATTTGAAAGTGATGTGCACAAGTGTGCCAGCCGTGTTGGCACATGACGTTTATGTCTCCTAATCAATCACCGGCTGTATCAGAATAGATTTGTCGATAAGTCAACTCTTCATACGGTCTTTCTCTTCCAAGAACCAGCTAACTCAACGGACCACATTTTTCAATTTTCAGTTCTCTTCACAATCCACTATTGCTCATGATTGGGATCAGCCAAAGATTTGATTTTCAACGGCTGTTTTGTTCTCAAAAATGATGCTGCAACCATCGATTCGATCGATTATCGCGATAATTAAACTATTGTCTACAGTGATGCCATATTTTTCCTGAACTAATACATCATCAGTAAGTGTGAGGATAAAACAATATCTATCACCCAAGAAACGCAACAATCAATCGTCAGTTATTGGCACAGATGACTTCCACTCGCGAATAGTCAGACTTTGAAATCCAAAAGGAATTATGTGGAGGTAGCGTGCTCGCGCGCGCGCGAGAGAGAGATAGAAAATTCCAATGAACCAGGCTTGCGTGAACTTACCCAGAAACATTTGTTTCGCTTGATAACTACCATCTTATAACCTTACCAGTCCCCTAGTTTGCTTGTTCAGTGATTTGGAGGATCTGTGAAATAAATTTTCACTTTGGTCTATAGTATCAATGATGTAATATCATGTTATGCTCGATCATTGTTCTCTCATCCACTTTGTCATGTCGAAAAATTAAACAGATACAACCGCGGAACCGATTGGTACGTTGCTCTGCGTAGTCTGCTTAAAGGCGCTTGCTCAAACGTGTCTATTGCACATGCAGTTTTAGGCAAATCTGTGTGGGTACGCATCAGCCGTACTCACAACCTACACACACCCCACTGATGCATATATTCACAATGCAGTGCAATCGTGTACGCCGTTGTACAATCACTCTCATACAGGTTAACTGCCTTGGGCGGCCCAATTCAATCGTTTTCTTTAATCAATAGAGGAAGAGGAAAAGGTTTTCTCGACTCCTGTTAATTCAGTTTCATTCCAGTCGCATTTTTTGCATTTTTGTGCCGAAACATAAACGCTGAATTTCTGTCTTGCTATCTCCCAACCCACCCACGTGTTCTTTCTCTTCCTGGCTTATTTTCTGTCTGACAATCATTGATTCTCTATCATTGTGGTGCAGTCCTAAGAGGCGAGTGACTATTTTGCCGTTTACCTCTCAGACTCAACTTGTCGAATGAATTTCTCCCTCCCTCAGGTCATTTTGGTCGAAATCCATAGGGCTCCTCGTTCCTCACACACACAC